TTTTTTTTTTTTTTTTTTTTTTTTGTAAGCAGCATGACTGTAAATCATTATGCATGTTTTTCTAATCTTGTGTTGTAAATAATCAGTATATTGCAATTAAATTTAGAAATTCAGTAAGAGAAAGATAAGATTACAGAGTTAAGAATTCAGAAGTTGGGGATGGTCAGTGTAAAGGCCACTCACGCGTACTTAATTCTTCTTGTGCATATTCATTGAGAGTATTTCTGTAGAAAAATTGCTTTGTTCAGAACCCATTTCTCCTTTCTTTATTCTGAATTTCCTCAAGTGGAATTGCCTAAGGAAGTTTGTTTTATCCTAAATACACCCATGCTTTCTCTGTCTTACTTCCCATTTGAGGTAATATCTATCTGGGAATAATACAGTAAAACAGAAAGCAGGTATACTTCATTAAAAATAACAAATGTTTATTGCTTTTGACTTTTTTGCTTTACAGGCTAAAATGTAAACTTTGATCCTTTGCTTACCCCTACTTCATATGCATTTATTTTGCTAGTGAACTTGAAAAGAAAATGTTATGTAAGTGATTATGATGTATTTAACCCTCTTTTAAAACTTTTTTCAATAAGTGAGAGAGCTTCTTCCAATTTGCCTTGACGTTAGGCAAAAACAACGCATCTCGATAGAAACACTACCGCAGGAACTGAAAGCTCCGGTCCCTCCAGAACCTTCCCTTCCCATACGAACCAAAACTGTGAAAGACTTCCAGTAAGTGTTGTAGATGTTTAAAGTGTATACTTTTATTTTGTTTGTTTTTCATTGCCTTTTTTGTTCACTCTGTGGCTTTATTTTTTTTGTGTTATTTTATTTTCTGGCTGCACTGCGGTGAGAACCAGTCAAAAATGGCAGCAGAATGTTAATTAGAATATAATTAATCAAATTAGTTCATTTAGGACATCAGGTTTAACACTTCAAAGCCACTTAGGGCTTGGTCATCGGTAACCATTTCCATGAGTGAAACTTTGAGTGCGTCTAGTGGTCAAAGCTCTTCTGTGGCAGCTGAATCCTTCTTTGCATCTCCATCAGAGGATTGACCTCTGACACACAACCAAGCAAAAGATGCCACAGTGTAAGTATATCAGCAAAGCCGTGCATTTGCCTGTGTAGGTTGTTTTACTTGAGTTAGGTCTACACTAAGAAGTACTGGCACAACTGTGTTGGATTCAGTCATGCTGACCAGAAAAGGTCTTTTGCTTGTTTAGGCCACAGACAGACATTCGTTTGTAGCAGTAAGAATTTCCCTAAAATCATTACTGCCAGAAAAATAGCCTGGAAGCTGGAATGTACATGTCCAGGTCCCTGGCTGGAGAGCTACATAGGCAAGCTCTCCAGCCAGGGGCACTAGAGAGCTGTTTCCTGTGCCACCTCTACCCTTATATGAGCCTATTAATTGACAGCCTTCCCTCTTCCCTCTGGGAAGGGGACATGCTGTAAACAGGAAGTTTTACAGCTGGAATCACAGGAAACCAGGGCCAGGGAGAGCTTCCATTACTCCCTGGAGCTCTTTTCTCTGTGGAGTCCCCAGTCTGGATCAGATCAGGAGGGAAGAGGAGCGGCATACAAGTATTTGTTCTTACAAGAGGAAATTTCTCTTAGGAGAGATCTTTCTCCTGGAAGGGGCATGTTTCCTTCTTGAGAAATTTAATGAATGTTTTTACACTCTCTCCTGGTACAAACAGCGCCTATACCAGGTCTTAGCTTATGTTCAGGAATGTTAGTAAAGCTACACCATACATTGCTCTGTCTGTACATCTTACATCTGTTTTAAAGGATTGTAGTGGCAAAGGCTCTTGTAGCAATGGTATTTACTAAAAGTAAAGCTTTGTTCGTGCAGCTGCATCCATAGTACCAATATATTGTTATTTCATACTAGTAAAGGGTTCCTAGTGACTTTTCCTTGACTGTGCCAGCTTTCAGACAGATGGAAAAGATTGCTGTTGCTCTGGATGGCATATGAGCTCATCATTTTTAAATGCTTTGTTGCTTTTTTGTATGTTTAACATTTCTAGCATTCAGCAGGAGAAAAAAGTAATGTTTTTTGATTGCCAGGTTTATTGAGCTTTTTTTTCACATGGAGCATAATCCAGGTACCCCAAAGGAGCTGCTGGCAGAAGTATGTTTTTGGCCAGGCCTCAGGTGGTCAAAGAAATCTGAATATGGAAAACGTATGAACTCTAAGCATTTATTTATTTGGAGTAAAATGTTCAGAAGTGTGTATCACTAGGGCTATGTCTACAGGGCCTAACACACTACCATATAGAAATGGTAACAAGATGCCATGGCTGGTCTAACAGCTGGGTCAGAGTACTGTGCTAAGGCAGTTGCACGGTTTCTGGTACCTGAGCTAGCTCTTTTCTTTGTGTAGCCCAAGTGCTATTGACTTTCAGGCATACAGGCTCCTCAGTTGTTTAGGCCCTGATCCTGAAGGTATTTAGGGGCCTGACTCTCATTCATTTCAAAACAAGTTAGGTACACACACATTTTTGAAGATGTGGGACTAAAGCTATTTGGAAAACTTTTTTCCTAATAACCCTTAGAGTGTGTGCTGCTGAAATCAGCAAATTAATCACACGCAAAATATTAAAATACAGATTAACTCTTACCTCATTGAAAAAGCCAAACTGAGATTTTTATCACTCTTGCAGAAATTAGTTAAGAGTAAGACACTTGCGTATGGCTTTACAAAATGTGTTCAACTTCATTTCAGGGAGCTTGAAGTTTTCTATTATTTCCAACTGGTAGTTTGTATTAAAGGTATTTATATACTTTTCTCATAATAAAAGGACTTTGAAATCTCCCAGGTTTCAACAAAGTGTAAATCCTTGAGCTTTGTTGATTCAGTGGATACAAATGTCCAAATTTAAAGTTAAATTAATGATTTTTAAAAAATGAGTTGGAAATTCAAATCCATATTTGTAACATTTAGATTAACAGCTTTTTAAGATTTTAATTGTTGCTTTTATAACCATTATGGCAAAATAACCCTGCTATGTTTATTGTTTCTTTTTAAAATATAGTACTTATAACCCAGTGAATGAAGAAATATTATGAATAGATATTGTTGATCCCTAACCTTAGGGGATTCAGAACATATGTTTATTCTTTTGAGACACCAGTATCTTATAATTTTAAGGGGAGCTCTTAGAGCAGAAGCAGCTTGTCTATGTTCAGCTTCCTTAAAAATTTGTCTGGAGATGGCATACTGGAGTAAAGGGTATAATGCAGTTTAGGGATGGGGATGGGGATGGGGCAGGGGGTGTTGTACTTCATCAAAAATAAACCCCACTTAATAAGATTCTGTTAAAATATTTGTGTGTGCTCTTCCTTAGGGAGGATATGGAAAAAGCTAAGTCATCAGGGGACTGGAAAGCTGTACTTGACTTTTATTCAGCAACTTTCGATTCTTTCCTGGAGATAAATGCTGCATTTAAGGTAGAAACTAATTCATGATATTAACTTTGAAAATTCAAAAGCACTAAAAAAGCATTAGTGTAAAACTCCATGTATATCTCCTTTTTCTTTTTTTTTAATTAACAGATGAGACTCATCTTTTTGTCTGTGTTACCTATTGGTAGTAAGTTGCAGCATCTATATGTGTTTAGGAAGTACTAACTGACGGTGCAGTAACAGCCATTACTGTGCTGTGTCAGCGGCACACGGTTATTTTTAGCCCCTACGTCACCATAGCGATACGCTGTAGCAAGGGAGTGCATCACTACAGTGACATGGCTACAACATCACAGTTTTTGCCTGCCAACGCTTTGTTGCCATAGCATCTCACGTAAATATGCCCAGTGTGTTTCATCTTGCTTTTATTTATTAGTCCCAGATTAAACAAACCAACATTTCAAGGAAAATTTTTGGCTATAAAACTAACAAAATACAAAAATTGGTGCTTAATAAAGCAAAGCAAACTTTTTCTAAAGCTGTTCCTTATGACCAAATAATGGAAAAATATGGCCTTTTAGCCTGCATTATTCTAATATAATAAAAACCGTAGTCTGTCTGTCTGTAATGCTTTATTCTCACTCTGAGTGGTTGTCTCAGCAGCCAATCACAATGCTGACTGAAACAACCAGTCGGAGTGCTCTGCACAGATGGACACACATGGTGGAGTACCACCATGACAGTGGGGACTGAGGGGCTGAGGCGGGGGAGCGAGGTCAGTGGTGTAAGCTTCCTGCCACCCCCTGCCAGGGAGAGGGAGGCGGCGGGGAAGAAGGGAGGGAGAGAGGAGAGTTTGATGGGGAATGGGGGGTTTCTGGTGGCAGCGCCTCTCCCCTGCCCCATCCTGCTGTCGCCACCTGGCCCCAATAACAGCTGGCAGAGAGGGCGAGGCAGCAGGGAAGGAGGAAGGAGAGAGAGACGAGAGGCAGGGAATGGGGGATGTTGCATGTGGCCGGATGTGGACTGGTGCCAGTGTGGGTAAGAGGCCGCCACCACATACAAGCTCCCCTCCTGCCCCCTTCCCCGCCTCCACCCTCGTTCCTGGGAGCTGGTGGTGGCATGGGGTGGGGGGCATACAGGGCTGCACCGGGAGTGGTGGTGGGGAGGGCACATGACCAACCTGGAGACTGAATCCTTCTTTTCTCAAAACAAGTACAAGATAAGCTCCAGCAGTAGGATGTTCCTTGCCTTCTTAGGGAACTTTAGCTCAGTTCTGGAAGGTGAAAAGATTCTTCAGCCTCATTTCTGTTAATTCTCAGTATTTATTCTAAGTCTGCATGTTATAATGCAAAATGAGCTTATGATGGAAAATAGGATTTGACTTGAAGCCAGTAACTCATTTTATAGATGTGATCTAAGAGAGATTACAGCATAATGACTTTATTGCTGTTGACAATTGCTCATTTCTGCCAATGATTAGAAATGATAGGTTTCATAGCCTGTTCTCAATTAATTGACACATCTAATATAACCTTATTACTTTAGACCGGGGTAGGCAATGTTTTTTGGCTGGAGTGCCGAAAAACACTACAATGCCTACCTTGGAAGGTGCCTGAGTGCCGGCATTGCACAAAACCAAAATGAGGGCAAGGGGTACATGGCAGGATGCCCTGCTTGTGCCCCTTGCCCCCCAGCCCTGCTGCCCTGTGCCCCAGCCCCCCAGCTCGGGCTCTGTGGCTGCCAGCAACTACCCCAGAGCTGGGGTAGCTAGCTGCTGGTGCGTGGGCTGCTCCCAACGGGGCTTGCAGCATCCCAGCTGCCTGCTGGGAGCAGTCCAGGCTCGTCCAGCATGGAGCTGATGACAGAGCTGTGAAGCCCGGCGCAGCTGTTTGCAGCCTGCCCACTGCTTGCTGCAGCTGCCTAGAGCCCAGGCTGGCTGCAAACAACAAGTGTGCCAGGCTCTGGAACCCTGCTATCACCTCGATGCTGGGAGCAGGGCAGAGACCGGGGCTGCGCTGCCTCAGGTCTCTCCCCCAACACCCACTCTGAGGCACAGAGCTGGTGCCGGAGCCCGGCACAGCTGTTTGGGGCCTCCTGGCTGCAGCCAGCCCTGGCTCTGGGGAGCTGCTGCCAGCCGGGAGCACGGGCTGCTCCCAGTAGGCAGCTGGGATGCTGCAAGCCCTGCTG